CAAGCTGAGAGCTCACATCCTGAACCATGAGCACAAAGCAGAGAATGAACAGTAAGTGGAACAAGGTTAGAAAAACCCAAAGACCACTAGCAGTGACATACTTCCTCTGGCAAGACTCTGCCTTCTAAAGGTTCCACAACCTTGCTAAACAGCGCCACCAACTGGAAACCAAGTGTTTCAATTATCCGAGCCTATGGGGGACAGTTCTCATTCAAACCACCACATAGAGTAACCTCCCTCTCAACAGGCTGACAATGGCCTGGAGAAGATAATGGAGCAGTAAAGGATGGCTCAGATGAAGCCCAAGGTTTTTGTTGGAATGATGATTCTGACAGTTCTTGGTACACTGTTAAAACCCATCTACCTAATGCCAAACACTGTAACACTCACTGTAATTCCATTTCTCATTCCAAGAGAACGTGAGTAAACGGAACATAGTAAACTTTAAAAAGAAAGCAGAGAAAGTCAAAGACTGTTTCTATAACAGCTCCCTCACACTTTGGCATCCCTCAGGCTGGGTAGACAGTGCAGATATTGTGACTGGAAAAAGTAAGTGTATTAGTCAGGGTTCTCTAGAGCAAAAAAAATGGATAGAATGAATATCAAATTTATTAAAATTATTAAGATGCATATAAAATGAATACTTAATAAAATAAACTTTATAAATTTAATAAAAATAGGCTTATAGGCCATGGGCTTAGCTGCCTCCCAATGGAAAGACCAAGAGTCATATAGTTGTTCTGTCTACAAGACTGGGTGTCTCAACGATCCCAATCTTGTGCAGAGGTCCCAAAGGATTCCTAGAGAGCTGCTGGTCTTCAGTCTATGTTGGAATCTCACAGAAGTAGGTTCTAATACCCGATAAGGAATGCCTCAGCAACTGGATATATGAGCTTGCCGGAAAGACTGAGGGAAAGCAGGCAAAACGCAAAAGTTTCTTCACTATCCTTTTATATCAGCTGCCACCAGAAGATGTAGCCCAGGTTTATGGTGGGTCTTCTTAACTCAACTGATCTAATCAAGAAAACCCCTCACTTGTGTTGCTTGGATTTTTGTTGAGTCCACATGTGGTCAAGTTGATAACCAAGACCAGCCATCACATTAAGTGTGTATGAGTCTCTCTAATGACTAGAGAAAGGGAGCATCTTTAGAGTCTCCAGGGACCTCCTCCCATCTGGCTTCTATGGTAACTGAACTTCAATCATTGGAACCAAATTTCAGAAGACCTTACAGACACTGAAGATCTCTTGCATGCAGAGCACAGAAATAGGCACTCCTTTGCTGGCATCTACACACCATTGAGCTACATTTTCTCTTTGCTCCTTAGGTTCACACAATAAGACTCCTGACTGCCCATAGTGATATTTTGTGGGGAATTGCAAGGTTCTGGCCTATAGGTCTGAGTATTGTGAGACAGGGACTGGAGAGTTACCGTGAGTAGTGCCTGGGAGGAGATGCCCAAGTGATGCTGAAACACAAGGAGGCCATCCCTCTTATCTTCTCTCTTGTTACCCTTCACTCTCTTCCCACCCTCTCTCCTTTTTCTTGTTATGTCTAGCTCATCCATCTTTATCTTGACTTTATTTAACCTTATCCTCCCCATTTCACTGACAGGCAGTAAAAAAAAAAAATCATTTCCTTGTCCCTGTCATTGTTTGTTTCTCCACTTTCAGTGGGAATTATCTTTCAGCACAATTAGTTTTTAACTTGCATAATTCTGTGTAAGATCTGTTAATCTATATGTATTTGAATGGAGAATCTTTGCCATTCTGACTCTGGGCAGTTCTTCAACGTCAAATAGAAAACAATGAGGATAGCCCTTCAGTCTAGTTTTCTTCCTGTTGCTGTGATAAAAAAAACAAACAAACAAACAAAAAAACACCCTGGCAAAAAAGCAGAAGAAAGATTCATTTTAGCTTACGGCTCTGGGTCACACAGGCATTAAGGAATGTCAAGGCTGGAATTGAAGGCAGGAGTGCTTACTAATCTACAAAGAGTTACATCTAACTGAGGAACTCACTTCCCAGCCAAGTACAACAGGAACCATGGAGAATGTTTCTTGCTTGCTGGCTTGTAGGCTCATGCTTAACAGCCCAGGGTCACCTGCCCAGGGAATGATGCCCTCTTGGTGGTACTAGCCCTCTTGTACCAATTAACAGTCATGACAACCATCCCACACAGACATGCCCACAGGCCAATGTTTAGTTTGCTTTATTGCTTTTGTTTTTGTTTTTGTTTTTTGTTTTTCAAGATAGGGTTTCTTTGTGTTAACAGTCCTGCCTATCCCAGAACTTACTTTGTACATTAGGCTGGTCTTGAACTCGCCTGCCTCTGCCTCTTGAGTGCTGGGATTAAAGGCGTGAGCTACCATGCCAGCCTCAGCCCACTGGCCAATTTGATCTGGGAGATTCCTCAACTGAGGCTCTCCTCTCAGATGACTGTAGACTCTGTTAGATTGACAGTTAAAGTCAACCAGGACATGAACTTTATTTTTGGAGTCATTTTTAAGGTTTACTCAGTCTCTGTCTCCTCTGGACATAGAGATAACTATTTGTATAGCCTCTATTAAATCCTGTATGTGTTAGTGTGTTACTTTTTTTGTTTTGTGTTTTGTTTTTTTTTTTCATTTTGTTTTTTTCCCCTTAGGTACCGCAAGCTTCCTGACCACCATCACCCTTCTGCTCTGCTGGATTGCCTGAATGCCACTATCCACTTCTTGAAAGACCTAAAAACCTATGGGGTAGACCCTGCCCGGGTGGTGGTTACTGGAGAAAGCATAGGAGGTTCGGGTGTAGCCTCTATCACCCAAATGTTATTGGGCAGACAAGATCTTCCCCGGTTTCGGGCTCAGGTTCTGATTTATCCAGTTCTCCAGGAGATCAATTTTCAGTTACCTTCTTACCAGCAGAATCAAAATTCCCCATTCCTATCTAGGAAATTTATGATGACCTGTGTGTGTAAGTATTTGGCCATTGACCTGTCTTGGATAGATGCTATGATGAAAGGTACTGTTATCCCCCCAGACTACTGGAAGAAGTACAACAAATGGCTCGGCTCTGACAACATCCCCCAAAGATTCAGGAGCCAAGGCACACAACCCAAATTTCCTGGAATTTTTAATGAGACTGCCTATCTGGAAACCAACAATATTTTTAACGTAGAAGTTTCACCTCTCCTGGCAGATGACAAGACCTTCGCTCAGCTTCCTGAAGCGTTCCTGGTGAGCTGTGAGTATGACATTCTCCGTGATGACACCTTGCTCTACAAGAAACGTTTGGAGGACCAGGGGGTCCCTGTGACCTGGTGCCATGTGGAAGATGGCTTTCATGGGAGCATGCTTTTATTTGATAAGAAGATTTTCTCTTTTCCTTGTTCACATAAGATTATGAATTCTACAGTCAGCTACATAAAGGGCATCTGAGACCTTCAGGATGAAGCCAGTAGTCAAATAATTGCTCAGGGTGCACAATCAGCACTGCACTCTAGCACTGCAAGCAAACAAGCAAGCCCAAAGAAACAAGTAAACAAGCAGACTGGAAAACAAAAACAAAACCTATAAAGTAAAAGAAATGGTGTGATGCTCCACACCAGTAGGGTAAGTCAAGGATGGCCTCTGGCATCAGCAAAAGACTTGGCTGAGAATCTCATGTCACAGAGGAGACAGAGGTGAGGACCTGCTGGGCGCACAGATTCTCACCATGTCTGTTCTCTTCCTTCAAGGGCAATGTTCAGTTGCATCTAGTGAAACCCCACCACTATCTCTTAGAGAATGAAAATCATGGGATTGTGTAGAAGGATTACTCTATAGCTCTGGGCAAAATAGATACCACCAAGCTGCCACAGGGTCACTGATGGATGAATCTGTATCTAGTGCTGATAAAACATTGCAGGGGCCGTACTGATGGATGAAATAGAAGTTACTGGTTACAGACCATCTCATATGCTCTGTTTCTGGCCTGAGAATCTTTGCAGAGAAACTCTTCACAGACCCATCTAACTTTAGACTGAATTACAGGAAGGTTTCATAGGAAGGAATTTGACAGTTGTGGAGGCCCCTGGCAGTGGGACCAGGATCTATCCCTGGTGAACCAGCTGGCTTCTTGGAGCCCATTCCCTATGTTGGGATGCCTTGCTCAGCCTTGATGCAGGGGGAGGGGCTTGTTCCTGCCCCAACTTGATGTGCCAGACTTTGTTGACTCCCCATTGGAGGCTTTACCCTTTCTGAGGAGTGGATGGTGGTGGGGAGGAGAGGTGGATGGGGAGCAGAAGGCCGGGAGGGAGGGGGAACTGTGGTTGGTATGTAAAATGAATTAAAAATTTAAAATAAAATGTCCCTAGATTAGTAATTCAGAGACAATTGGGTCACAAGGACTCTGACTTGTTGAGTAGTTTAGTCTCTGACAGATACAAAATTTGAGGGAGGTAGAGCTGTAGAAAGGGAAGGAAGGGTCACTGAAGGGGAGAAACGGGGGTCCTTCCTCTTTAGGCTTATAAATGGATTTGGCTCCTGCCTTTGACAGTGAATATTTGTAGGGGACACCCTAACCATGCCTGCTCCGGCTGGTTACAGGTGTGCCTGGCCACACCCTCTAGGGCGTAGTCAGGGTGACATGAGGAAGGGGTACAGAGAGAGCGTCGGAGACTGTCAGCAGTGACCAGATCAGCCGCTGCCAAGATGGCCGTGTTTCTCATGATCCGGCGCCACAAGACCACCATCTTCACGGATGCCAAGGAGTCGAGTACCGTGTCGGAGCTGAAGCCCATCGTCCAAGGCTTCCTCAAGCAGGAGCCGTACAAGCAGCATCTGTACAAGGATGACAACCTCCTTTTTGACAGCAAAACTCTGGGAAAGTGTGGCTTCACTAGCCAAACAGCAGGGCCCCAGGCCCCAGCCACAGTGGGCCTGGCCTTCCTAGCAGGTGATGCCTTTGAAGACCTGCGCATTGAGCCCTTCTCCAGCCCTCCAGAGCTTCCACATGTGATGAAGCCACAGGATTCTGCATGCAGTGCCCATGAACAGGCTGTGCAGTGAGTGCCCCAGGCCCACAACCCCTCTAGATACCCACTTCCTCAATAAAGATTTGCATGCTGGAAAAAAAAAAAAGAGTGAGGAGTACAGGTGATGCCTTTGAAGACCTGCGCATTGAGCCCTTCTCCAGCCCTCCAGACCCTTCACATGTGATGAAGCCACAGGATTCTGGAGATAAACATGGTATTCACTAAGTCATTATTGATACATAAAGCAAAGGACTACTAGCCAACAATCCACATTGCCAGAGGAGTTAGGAAACAAGGAGGACCCCAAGAGAAGATTGTATAGTCTCTTCACGAAGGGGAGGGGACAAGAACCCTTGACCAAAGTGGGATCCCAGGGGGTATAGGAAGGAGGTGCGAAGGAGAACAAGAGGACTGAGACAGGTGTGGATTAGTGGAGGGCAAGAAAGGAGATGCCTTGACAGGGGGAGACAGTACAGATTTGGAGAGATATCTGGCACAGGGAAAATGTTAGGGGATTTATAGGGATGACCCCAACTGAGAAGCTAGGCAGTGCTGGAGAGGATGGCATTGATTCCCTTTCCCTATAATGTGATTGACACCTACCTTGGTTACCATTCCTAGAGCCTTCATCCAGTAGCTGTTTGAAGTAGAAACAGGCAACCCTAGAGCACAAATGGACTTTGGGAGCCCATTCCCTATGGAGGGAACTATTGCAGCCCAGAAACAGCAGGGGGGTCTAGACCCTCCCCCAAATGATATGACAGACTTTGAAGGTCCTTGGTGGAGGGACTCACTATCCCTGGGCAGAAGCCAAGGATGGGTGGGGGAGTTTGGGGGGGGAACATGGGAGGATGGGAGGGTGAGGGAATGGCGGGGATGGATATGTAAATATGAGTAGTAATTAAAGAATTTTAAATTTAAAAAAAGAAGAAAAAAGAGTGAGGGGTACACACATAGGAGCCCCTTCTTCCCCTTCTTATTTGGCTTGTTCTACTTACCTCGTTCCCTGCCGGTTGGCTAGGCTGTTCTGAGTAAGTAGGGCACTCCTAAATAAATATCCTTATCTATGCCTGACTCCGTATTGATATTTCACTTTAAACATGAATCACTTTTGTTGCCATGGCCAAATATCTGTCAAGAAGCAACATAAGGAAAGGAAAGTTTATTTTGTTCATGTTTTTATAGAGGAGTCCACCATGGAAGCCATGGCAACAGAAGCATGACAGGGCTGGTCGCTTTGCATTAGCAGCCAGGAAGTGGAAGGGAAATAGGAAGGGAACTGGGCAGCAAGACTTCAAAGCCCGACCCCAATGGCCTTCTTCCTCCAGCAAGATGCTACCCCCTAAAAGCTCCGCAGCTATCTAAGGCAGCACCACCAGCTAGCAACTGAATATTCAAATGAGCCTAAGGAGGACATTTTACATTCATGACTCCTTCCCGCTATTGGACCATCTTATAATACAAAACTCACTGATTTCAACTTTGAAAGTCCTACTAATCTCTTGTTCAAAAGCCAAGACTCTTTTGATATCCAGGCAGTTACTTAATTTTGAACCTCTGTGAAGAGAAGGGAAAAGAGAAAAAACAAAACATGTTCCCACTGTACAATAGAATAAACATTTTTGTTCTGAAAGTGTGAACAGGAGGATATCAAGTCAAGACCAAACTACAGCAGTGAAAACATCAAATCCTCTGTTTCTATGCCTGGCATCTGGGGCTTGTGCAGCCTTACCTCTCTGTTCTGGTTAGCTTTAATTTTCAGTGTGACACAGTCTTACCCATGTGAGGTCCCATCTTGTGGGGATCCCAATTCATTTAAAGGAGGAAAGACTAAAATTAGCAGGCTCTCTGTCCTTGAAAGCAAATACCCAGGAAAATGTGTTCTTGGGGTTTCCACACAGAAGTTGATACAGCTGTAAAACAAGGGACTGGGCTACCTCCCAAGCTGTCATAAATGTCGTCTCTGTGGTGCTGGATGTGAGAGCATGACAGGTGCAAAATTGGAGAGGGCTGTGGAGAGCAGCTGAGCCTTCGTACGTACGGTGTGGCAAGATCACAGTCCCCTTAGAATGGCTCTGAGGGGCCATTGAATCAAGCTGTGAAAAGGAAGCCTTGATTGCTATGGCAACCCCATGATAATGGAGATGCCAGGACTGTGAGATGGTCCCAAAGCATAGCTGTCGTGGAGGAGTGGAGCTGGACTAAGGCAGTGGGAGAAGCTGTATATGGTGCAGGGGGCAGAGCTGGAGAAGCGGAGCTACGGAAGCCCTTTGGAGCCAAAATTACCTTACGAGCCCTCCAATGCTGGACATTGGAGCTGTGTGATTTGGTATTATTTCTGCTGGAGTTTATTTTTGTGTTAGTGCAATGACTTTTCTTGCTATAGCCTGTTCTTCCATTTCAGAATAAAAATGTAACTGTGCTATGGCATGATTCAAGTATATAAATTGATTTTAACTTTATAGGAGCTCACAGTTAAAAGACTACAGAATTTTAAACAGACTTTTGATTGTTAAATTTGGACGGTAATTTATATTATAAACAAGGCCTGGAGGGCAGGGGGTAGAAGCTAGAGGGTAAAAGCAACGTGTTTGTCTGTCAAGTTGTCAAGGAGTCTGGAGTATGGTTAGCTGTGGGTATCAGCTTGACATAATCCAGGATCACCTAGAAAAAAGTCTTAGTGAGGGATTGCCTACATGGGGGTTGGCCTGTGAGCATGTCCATGGGAGAATATCCTAAGAAAACTCTGCCCACTGTGGGTAACATCATCCCTAGGCAGGGAGTCTTAAAATTAAGCTGAATGCAAGTAAACAAGCAAGTATCGTTTATTCTTTTCTGTCTGCTCTTGACTATGGGTGGGATGTGACTAGCTTTTTGAAGCTCATAGTTTACCACTCTGATGAACTCCAACCTAGAATTCCAGCTGAAATCAATGAAATTTTACCTTGAATTTCTTTGTGTTGGGATATGTCAACACAGTGACAGAAAGGAAAGTAGGCCATCTCATCCCTGTTGCTATAATGCAGGCAGCCTCTCTCTTGGGTTAGCATCACTCCACATAGGCAGTTTTTCTTGGCATCTGTAGCATTTACTCAAATTCTGTCTACAAAACTGCAAACATCAAGTGATTAGCCGTGGCTGACCTAACCAACTATTGTAAGCCACCATTAACAAAACATTTTATTATAACTATTAGTGCATACATTGTTTGTACAATTGTGATGCTCTTGTCCTTCAATCATTTCACCTTCTCCATGCCACCACGGTCCCTTCTCACTTCCCCGATAGTCTCCGATTTCCTTTTATTTTGCATCTACATAGGACAGAAAACATGCACCCCTTCTCTGTGTCAGACTTATTTCTTTGTCATGATTCTATTTTCATTCATTTTCCTTCATCGTTGACTAACTTCCCACTGCCTTTGTCTTAATCAGAGTTTGGGTGACCAAAACATCATGACCAAAAAAAACATGTGTGGAGGAGTGGGGTTTATTTTGGCTTACAACATTCAGGTCATACTCAGTCACTGGGCAGAAATTCAAAGTAGGAACCTGGAGGCAAGAACTGAACCAGAGGTCATGCAGGAGTGCTACTTACTGGCTTGTTGCCCACGGCTCGCTCAACCTGCTTTCTTTCAGCACCCATGACCACCAGGCCAGGGATGTGTGTGCTCCCACGTCAATTGTCAGGCAAGGGAACATACCACACACTTGCCCATAGTTCAATTTAACAGAGGCATTTTCTCAAATGAGAGTCCCTTTTCCTGAATGGCTGGAGCTAGTGCTGTGTGACATAGAACCGACCTGTTATTTTTTTCTATAATGTTTTGCATTGGTGGCTCTTGATACTTCAATGGATGCTGTAGAAAGTAGTCCTCTGCCCTTTGAAATGCCACATGCTTTCAGAAAAGCTTTCCCTCCCAGAGAAACTTTATTTGTAGCCAAGGACAACTCTGAAACTCTTAAAAAGTTAGTTAATATAAGGTTACCCTTGTCATTTGTTGCTGACAAACATCTTGCTAAAATCTTCTCCCCCTGAGATATTTTATTCCACATCCTTGGGGAATTTTGTGGCTATAAATGATTCTTCTGAAACTATTTTAAGGTAGATTAGGGAGGAGGCTGTGTCTCTCGTTAGAGGGATGGAAGTCTCTCTCCTAGGGTGACATGGGTCCTGCATCACAGTCTGGGGCATCATCTTTGGAGCTCCTTTGGTGATTAATTTGTTGAAAAGTTTTAAGGCACATCTATTGTAACTTAAACAATGAATACAACCAGAAAAATTGATATCACTGATTTTAAGTAGTCCGGAAAATAAATATAGAATGTTCTAGGGAATCCCGGCCATTCCTTAAAAGCAGTCATTTATTCCCAGGTCTATAGGAGTAATTGCTGAGGCCAGGCTGCCTGCTTTTGAGTCTTTTCAAGGTAGATTTTAACTTCATTAGAAATACAAATGCAAGCAACACAAAACACATTTGTAGTAACTCAAACTTGTCCCTTTTCACCTAGAATACGGTCTGTGGCAATTTAATTATCGAGAACAATTCAGCAAGAGAGAGAGAGATAAGAGGACAAAGATGTAAAAGAATCGTTTTAGGAAAGAAGGCATCCCAGACAGATTCACCACCTACTCATAACAGCCCGTGATAGGCAAGTTTCTAATTATGTGTTTGTGAGTTCATATTCTCTGCCACGGCAGACATGTCCAAACAGAGGCATAGCAGCCTCCATCTTCTGTAGGTAAACTCTCTTCCCTTTAACTCTTGAGAATTATTTTAATGAAATGGCATCTTGGCTAGTTTTTAGGAACTAGTAGATAAAGAATTATAGCCAAGTGCAAAAAGGACAAATTTCCTCAATTTGACAGCTTTCTATGCATGCAAAAGCCTAGGGTTGCTCTTTTAGAGTTTTTTTCCTTAAAAAACAAAACCCAAAAAACTATACCAAACTAAACTAAACCAAAGAGATGCCCTTGTAGAGTATATAATACCTCCCAAGACCCCCTAAAATCATGTAGCTTGAGGTCTGAGCC